AGTAGGAGGGAATGGAGAATAAAGAATCTAGAGGAGAGTTTCTGGAGGGTAGGAGGGTAGTCTGCAGGGCTTTAAAAGCTACTATCACTATTTGTCCATGGACATCGATCTTAGTGAAATCCCTGGACTTAAAGTCAGAGGATGGGATTCCCATCTCCAGCTCTCTTATTTTATACCAGCTGTGTGATCTTGAGGAAGTCACTTAACCTCTCTGAACCTTCACCTCCTCGGCTGAAAACTGGGAGTCTCGCCACACCCATCCCAGAGGTGCTATGAGAATTACATAAATCGAAGTGCGTGCAAGGTCTGCCCTTCTATAAATATTGTCCTTGGGTCTGTGCCACCACATTCTAGAAATTGTACAACCACTGAGCTATATCTGTGAATGGATATTGGAGCTGAGTCAATCCACAGACCCATAGCGAGCACAGCCAGGGCCTGCCAAACCCAGGCTAGATCAGCTGACCTTGGTTGGCCCACAAACACGTGAACTTCAGTGATAAATGACTGTTATGTAAGCCACTGAGTGTTAGGATGCTTTATTACTCAGCGATAGTTAACACAATATCCCAAAATTACGGCTCCTGACGCTTAAAATTTTAAGGCCATGTTCAAGAGAAATCATTCTAAAACATACCTGACACTTATCTGCCTTTTTAAGCAAAATTAAGTGCACACAATTCAGTCTTCACTGGGCCATTCATGCTCCTAATAGTGAGAAACAGTTAATGTGTCATAAGTCAATGGTGCCCTCAGGGGTTACCTACAGAACAGGGGCTCTAGAAATAATTCCGGTCTGCTATTCTTTTTGATCTCAGAACTATTCCCTGCTGATTGGCCATTTTTCTTGTAATCACTTCGGTCAGCTTTTTTTGTTGTTGTCATGGTGTCCATCATAAGCATGAACTCACCCTCCCCAACCTAATGTGCCACACCACCCTTCCAGAAGCCTACTATCTAAGCCTGCTCGAACGGTATCCAAAGCGACAATTAATAGACTTGGAGGAAGAGTCAGAACTAGTTTTCTGTGTATCAAATGCATGTGCTTTAACACTGGGCGTTCTGTCATCAATTCTGGCTTCTTTGAGGCTTTTTGCGCCCTTCTGTGGTGATCCTCTGGGACCCGGCAGTGGAGTTTGCTAGGGAGTAAGCCTCTCTCTGGTCTAGATAGTTGGTGCTGTGTCTGGGTTGTGGGAATACAGTCCTTCCTGGAGACAGTGAAGGGCTGGCTCAGCTTTGAAGGAAAGTACTGCCCAACAGGCCTGTAAGAGCCCTTTCTCCGTCACACCCTTGCTGGGCCATTTAGCACATGCTGCCTGTGTTTCAACAGTGGATGTTCACAAATTCCCCCAGAGCAGAGGCAGCATCCGACTTGTCTCTGTGTCCTCTGTACCACTTAGCCCAGTGCTAGGCACATAGTAGGTGCTCACTAAGGTATGGTGGGTGGCCCTTGTGTCTACGAGCATAGGGCTTGTCTTCCTCAGAAGAGTAAGAATCTATAAGATTCTGAATATAGAATATTTTACACCAAATTATTGGAAAATATTTTCAAAGGATTAAAGTGATCCTGTGTCAAAGAACAGTTCTCATTTCAGGGCAGAAGTTTATTTCTGAACTGTGTTATGAGGAAGCCATGGTGACTAAATGTGGGAACAAGGCCAAGAAACTCTACAGGTGAAAGCAAATATTTTTTGCTCTATTGAACTGTTACCTTAGTGATTCTCCCTAAGTGCACTCCCATTGTTTGTTTGTTTGTTTTTTAAGTAGGCTTCACACCCAAAATGGAGTATAACCCGGGGCTTGAACTTGCAACCCTGAGATCAAGAGTCTGATGCTCAACTCACTGAGCCACCCAGGTGGCCCCTTCCATTGTTTTACCAAATGTCTAAGGACCACATTCACAACCAAAAAATCTGGATTTAGAAATTCATCACGCAGGGGTGCCTGGGTGGCTCAGTCAGTTGAGCGTCTGACTTCAGCTCAGGTCACGATTCAAATCTCTCACGGATTTGAGCACCGTGTAGGGCTCTGTGCTGACAGCTCCGAGCCTGGAGCCTGCTTCAGATTCTGTGCCCCTCTCTCTGCCCCTCCCCCACTCATTCTCTCTCTCAAAAATAAATAAGCATCAAAAAAAAAAATTAGAAATTCATCAGGAAGTGCCAGTGGACATATGAGCTAGCTATTCCACATTCCCACCCCTCCCTCTCATTCTGTGCCCCAGAAGCTAATTGCCATAGATTGTATCCAGAGGCTCCCCCTGCCCCCTAGCTTCGGGCTGGGTTTGGCCAATGGAAGGCACTGCCAAGAGGAGCTGGGGCACCTGGGTGGCTCAGGCAGTTAAGCATCTGACTGCGGTTCAGGTCATGATTTCACAGTTCATAGGTTCAAGCCCCGAGTCAGGCTCTGTGCTGACAGCGCAGAGCCTGGAGCCTGCTTCAGATTCTGTGTCTCCTTCTCTCTCTCTGACCCCCCCCCCCCCCCACACTCTCTCTCTCTCTCTCCTTCAAAAATAAATAAAATAAAATAACAACAAAAAAAGAGGTAGCTAGATTGGAGTAGAGAGAGGTTGGGGTACTTCTTCTCTATTTTCTCCCTGCTTTGGGTCCTTCTGTGGTCATAGCTCCTGTTCAATGGCCCCTCCTCCAAGTTTCCAAATCTTCTTAGGATCAATTTCCCCATTTCTTCCTCTTGCCTTTCTTTTTTCTTTTCTTTTCTTTTCTTTTCTTTTCTTTTCTTTTCTTTTCTTTTCTTTTCTTTTTAATATTTATTGATTTGGGGGAGAGCGCAAGCAGGGGGGTGGGAAGGGGGCAGAGAGAAGGGGACAGATGATCCGAAGTGGGCTCTGCATTGACAGGCTGAGAGCAGACAGCCCTATGTGGGGCTTGAACTCACAAACCATGAGATCATGACCTGAGCTGAAGTTGGACACTCAACTGACTGAGCCACCCAGGTGCCCCTCTTCCTCTTGCCTTTTTAAGCAAAAGCGTGGTAAAGACTTCCCGAATTACTAATTCCTCAACTTTCCCTGTTGGCTCCCTTAATCCCACTCACACCTCTGAAAGTGGTCCCTTCGTTCAAATCTTCATGTGAACCATCTGATGTGCTTCTTTTTCCTGTTGTTACCTTGACTGCTACAATCTATACAATGTCCTACCTAAAAGATGTCTACACTGCACCAGCAGTGTCTCTAGGGCAAGGAGTTAAAAAACAAAAATCAGAGGTTCTTTTCTCTCTAGTTTCCAGAACCTAGTAGCCATCTGAGTCTATCTAAATTAAATGATATAAAATGAAGGCAAGCTCCAATCTACAGATGAGAAAAATTATTATTCCTCCATTCACTCACTCATTCATCAAATATTTGTTGTGCACCTACCATGTGCCAAGGCCTGCTCTGACCCTGGGGAACGAATGATAACATACAAGACAGTCCCTGCCCACATGATGCTTATAGTCGAATGCCGACTGTCTCCCAGAAGTCAGAGCCCATCAGAGGCAGGGCTAGAACCAGAAGCCAGAGTTTCCTTAAGTCTGGAGCCTTCAGCAGATTCTCAAAGGACTCTATTACCTAAATAAGGTTAAGAACCCACTGGATCAGACCGAATGAACTATCCAGCTGCCCCCCCTTAAATAGAAGGATCATGACCCACCAGCTCCCAGAAGTGTGGCACTCCCAACTGGAATTTGTGGGGGCATATTGTCATTCAGGAGTGGTGACACAACCACCCACCTTTCCTACCCTCCCTACTCTTCACCTCCCAACAAGTTCCCCTGTCCTCTCCTTCAGCTTCTCCCATTTTCATAATTTACCCTGTGCCCTTCTCCGAGCCCTTCCCTCAGGGCCCACAGATGCGGGCAGGCCTGGCAGCACAACACATTGCTGAACTGATTTTATGAACAGAGAGGGGCTGGGGTCTGGATTCTCAGACATGTCCTCTCTGAGAGCCTGTGTTTTCAGCAAAGGCAGTGAGAATGAAATGTCTGCCTGCGTGAAAATATTTGTGAGATTCAAGTTGGAGGGCATGACTGAAACCGCCTCTGCTGGGGGAGAGGGGGGAAGCCAGGGGCGGCTGAGGTGAATTGAGGGGGGCTATAACAGGACAGGCAGCAAAACCGGGGGGTCTGCCTGGCTCCCTCAAGCCCTCCGGAAACATTTGAGTTTCCTCAGAAAGGTTTAAATAGGCCATGCCAGTAACACAATACTTCCCCTGCTCTGGGTCAGACAGGACGAGGGCAATCTGGTGCCTGCTGCCCTCAGAGAAGTTTGGCAGGTCAGCTTAAAAAGCCCTCTTCCCCAAATCACCCAGCCCTATCTCTGACAGACACAGTCCACTCTAGGCCAGGCCAGGGGCACTCTGGAACCCTCCACATCCCCTCAAAAATCTCCCGTCTCCCACGACCTCCAGCTGCCCTATTTGGGCAGAAGTCTCACCGCGGGAAGAAGGCACAACAGGAAAGCAGCCAGGGCTGGAAAAATGGGAGACCTAGGACTGAGGCTGCAAGGGTCCCTGCCCACGGGCGAATCACTGGATTCCCCTTTTCCCTGCTGGGACAGGAAGGGAAGAGCTCAGCGGAGGCGTATTTGCTCCACGACATCCCCCTTGAGTCAAGCCCCCTTCAGAAGGGGTTGGGGATGTGTTCACAGAAGTGTCTGGGGCTCACTTCTCCCTTCCATGCTCTCCTCTGTGTCTCTTTTAAGCTCCCCATGCTTCCCAAAGTGAAATCACGCAGCAAGTGGGGAGAAGTGGGAGAGGCAGAAACCATTTTTAAAAGGGTCTCTGGCTTTGAGCAGCTGGGTGGGGGCCACTTGGAACAAGGACGGAGCGAGCTTCTGAGACAGCTCGGGTGACAGGAAGCTGCTGGGTGGCTGTCTCCCTCCAGCCTCCTTCCACCGAGAGCAGAAGGGGGAAAATATCAGGACACGCTGCAAAATAATCTTCCACCCCCCCCCCCCCACCCCGCCCCAAACGGATGGAAGAGAGGAAAGTGTGGTCATCATTTACCTGCTGAAATTGGGAGGACGCTGTTGATGAAAGTAGGCTGAGACACGATAAAGCGGAAGAAAAGCTGCAGATAGATTCCCAAAGTCACTGGATTCAGGACAACCATGCTGGCTGGGGTCTGGCAAGTGTCAAGTTCTCTAGGCAAGGCTGCTCGGGAAGCCTTGCTTATCTCTGCCTTTGTCTTCCTCACTGCTGTTTGCGCCTCTCTCTCCCCCCTCCCCCTCCCCCTCTCCCTCTCTCTCCTGTCTCCCTCTCCTTTCCCCATGCCTTTACCAAGAAAGAATGCCAACCATTTCCCATTAAACCTTCTCCGTACTACACAGGGTTATATTTATCTCCCGCACTGAATCAAATGCCCACATTAAAATACTATGTCAGAACTTCTGTTTCGGAGACTGAGGTGAGTGGCTACTGAAGAGGCGGTGAAAAGGCAGTTGAGTCTCAAACGTTCACTAGAAGCAGTCCTCAAAGGCAGTCAGATCCCCAACTATCCCCCAGCAGCTGCCTGCTCGGAACGGAGGTGTCCAACAGCACCACAGAATCACTGAATTTCCACAGACACAAATCCCTCTGCTGTCAGCCTGTGACACTTTTACCCGCTCGGTGACAAATGCAAAGTTGACCTTGGATTATTTTTCTTTAATCGTCCAATAAAACGGGGGAGGTGGATTTTCTCAAACAGCTTTCTCCAGGAGAAAGTGTTTGTTCTCCCTGCAGAAGCAGCACCCTTCTATCTCATCCACAGCAAAATAAGTGAAAAGACAGAAAGTGAATGATTATCAAATTACACTTGGAGAAAGAGCATCAATGACTTGATCTTTGGCTGGGCAAAATCCAAGTAAAAAGTGCTGCGTCCTTAAATGAATACTTCTTATGAGTTTATGAAGCCTGTTACAGAGATCCTTAGATTATTAAAATAATGATCTACAGGGGCGCCTGGGTGGCGCAGTTGGTTAAGCGTCTGACTTCAACCAGGTCACGATCTCGCGGTCTGTGAGTTCGAGCCCCGCGTTGGGCTCTGGGCTGATGGCTCGGAGCCTGGAGCCTGTTTCCGATTCTGTGTCTCCCTCTCTCTCTGCCCCTCCCCCGTTCATGCTCTGTCTCTCTCTGTCCCAAAAATGAATAAACGTTGAAAAAAAAAATTAAAAAAAA